GAAAGCTCCCATGCTGTCAGGAATTTCCCAGAAGCCTATTTTGCCTATGAAAGCGCATGTACCCATGGTTTGAGTCCTTATCCCAACTCCTTTAAGCAAGATGAAGTGGAGCCCAGCTTCATTTCCTTTCTTGGAGAACCGTTGGTGCCGAGGACACATGGACCATTTCCTCAGCTGCATTTGATCTTTGGTCCCAGAGTTCAAATGAAAGATAGTTTGGCAATTACTTGGATGGGGTGTCTGCAGGAAACAATCTGGGGCCGATCTTGATGAATGGAGCTGGAGTAATTAGTCACAAAACTGTCATTAGCTTCTTGTGATGGAGGCCGTGTTTGAGGTCTGTTTTAAAGGTGCTGTGTGTCTTCAGTAGAAAGAAAAAACCGCGAAAGGAAGAGTATATTGTGAATTTCAGTCTATGCTGCTTAGACACAAACTCATAATCCTTTACGAACAATATTTTTGTATTTCTCTGGGCAGACATTTTACAGACTGTAGCCCCTTGATCCTGAATTATTTTTGTTAAATTGACAAAACCAGATGTAAGCCGTACTTACTTATGCTCGTGATGCTCATCACTAGTCTAGTCATTATCTAGTCATTATCACTGGATTGTCTGGCTCAGACTCAGTTGTATACTATCATATGCAAGAGTATTTCTGATTTTGCATTAGGTAACAAACAAACTAGGGCTCGATTTAAGAGATGTTAACCTACTTGCACCAGGTGCAACCTAAGATAAAAACCTAGTTGCACCAGCCTAATTCCAGTTGCATTGATTTTATGGTGAAATGAAAGAAATGTAATGAAAGAAATATGCTATTGAGTTATTTAGATGTTTTATTCAGAAGTTTACCCACTAAAAAATTGACCTGCACCTGGTGCAAGTTAGAATAATAACTACGTTGCACTTTGTAATATTGGCTAGCATCAGTGCAAGTAACAAAGCAGTAAATCGAGCCCTGCAAACACTTTTATGAAAATTGTTGTGTCAGCTGTTACTCATTTAGGCTAACACTTAGTTTCAGAATATATAATTTTGATAGAAACAAATAATTATTTTAAATTGAAAAGGAGACCCAGTGAGATGGGAGACTGTGAACCTAAGGAAATCTAGACCTGCTTCCTTTGGGGCTTTAGCATTGCAGACAGGGCAGAGCTGAGGGAAATATTGTAGCTCAGGGACTTTGAGACAGAATACTACTCGTAAAGAGAGTATGTGAGTGAGTATGGTTTTACACCTGTTTTGTGCAATATTCCAGCAATATCATGGTGGGTGACACCATTGGCTTCACACATTGTACCCATGTGGGGATCAAACCAGGGTCTTCAGCATGACAAGCAGATGCTTTAAACCACTAGGCTATCCCACCGCCCCTTGTAGAGAGAGAACTTTACCCTATTTCACCTGTATCATCCCTGATTTTCAGTGATCTATTTGTACAAGTTTCACTGTTTTGCCTCTCACACCCAGTGAAATCAAATAACCAGAAAATAATCAAGACTGATGACTCTCAGGTGTTGGTATTTGGAATTCATTAGAATTAGCTTAATTGTGTTTAAACCTGAACTGTTTGTACAAATAATTCAGAATATATCAGTGCTTGGTGGTGATTAAGGTAAGCAACATATTGACTTCATGCTTGTGAGATGATGGACGATGAAGCTGTGGTGTGGTCCAGATGCTTGGGTTCCGAGGGACTTCAGCTTTTCAGATGTCGATGGTTCAGAGACACAGTTTTGTGTTTGGCAATAGCTCAAAGTTTGTGTTCTGAGATCGTAGGGATCCAAGAGCTTTCTTCTAAATGTTTCTTTATGAAAAGCTCAGCTGTCTGTGTGATCTAGTCTGATTGGTTTTCCAACTTCCAGCAATACAAGTCCTCATACACCAAGTTGCCAATTCATCCCCCACAACGAAGGGGAATTTAAAAAGGAAAAAAATATCTAATTTTGAAAATGGTCTTAAGACAAAATAACTGCTCCGCAAATGTTTCTCGTGTCAAAACAATGAATATTTGATGGGGATGGTAAGTCTTTGAAATTCATTTTCCTTTGAAGGTCATGATCATTTAATGTCAGATATTAGAAGCTATTTTAGAGTATAGCATTCGTTTCTTGACAGATTGTAGTTTTGGTAGCTAAATTGCAAACTCCATGGGGAATATGCAGTGCATGAAAGAATTTCAGAATCAATTGTAACCATTTAATATGACTGCATTGCATGTTTAAGGTATTTGTATGATGTAATTCTTAAATATCAGAGTTCTAGTTAAGCTTTGTCATGGCAAAGGATAATTTTAGCAACCAGCAATCAAGCTTTGATTTTCTTTTCATTGGAAAAATAATTGTGTCTGCCCACATAACTTTTTATTCAAGAATCTGTTCTTGTACTTGCAATCCATTGGTAGTCAATGTACTTAATTGTAAGTGTGTGAACCAAAGTAGAAAAATCTCTTGGTATTTCAGAGTTCACAAAATAATGCAACTTATGGTTCACAGGTCATGTGACTACATGCAATCATGGTTTACACGTCGTATGACCACTTGCCAGAATGGTTCACAGGTCATGTTACCACTTGCCAGAATGTATCACAGGTCATGTGACTACATGCCAGAATGGTTCACAGGTCATGTGACTACATGCCATCATGGTTCACAGGTCATGTGACTACATGCCAGAATGGTTAATATGTCTTGTGACTACATGTCATCATGGATCACAGGTCATGTGACTACATACCATCATGGTTCACAGATCATGTGACTACATGTCATCATGGATCACAGGTCATGTGCCTACATGCCATCATGGTTCACACCTCATGTGTCTACATGCCATCATTAGATTTTCATATCTGTGCAGTGTTCTGTGTATAAGAAAAATAAATACCATATTTTGTGGTGTATGTTTTCTCAGTTGTAATGCACACACTGGCATTCCTTACTACAAGATTCAGACAAAACTGCTAATATATATGTAATGTACATTATATTAAAACCTTGGTAAGCAAATGTAAATTTTAAAGTTTAATTTGTTTTTCTGTTACACTGGGCAACTTTGATATGAAAGGATAAGATTATTGCATGTGATTGTTACTTTGGATGTATTCAATGAGACAATCAGCTGTGTGCACATCAAATAAATGTAAAACTCATTGTTTCCAAGTAACATGTTTGCGTCCATCTAAACTGTTTTATTTTGGGAACAAACATTTCAACCTTATTCAGAAACTGAGATGGAAGTGTCCGGCAGAACTACAGACATCTTGGGACGATTATAGAAAGTACCAAGTACCTCAAATAGATTTTGGATTTATCATGACATCTAACCTGACTGTCCATTGTGCCCAGATGACGATTTCACCTGCGCTTCACTCTCCATTATATACAAGCTGATAAAGTTGGATAATGGCTGACTGTGGTGTAAAACAATATTCACTCGCTAGTATGATGCATGTGACTTTGCCGATGTCAAATATTGTTAATATGATATGGAATATTCAAATGAACCTTGTCAAGGCCATTTGGTGTAACCTTGCTCCGCATAAATGTGAACTGGCACCAAACATGCTTGATAGATTGTCACCTTTGACCTTTCCTTTAATGCATATTCATGATGACCTGTCTCATATCCTTCCATTAGGACCACTTGTCCGAGGTAATATTCAGGTTCCAACCTGCTAACAGTGGGAAAGTTTTCTTTGTTGGACAGGACATAACAGTTCGCAGGACATGCCCGCCCTTCTTCAGGGTGATGTTTTTTCCAGTGTGTTGGCTTTCCCATCTCGTTGATGATTGGGACTGTTTATTATCTGTGTTTGGCGTTGTATTTGTGCAGTCATTGGAGGAAATGATAGTTAGGGGTGACTATTGAGGGGGAAACAACTATTGCGATAGAGATAGTCTATTGCAACATACTATTGCGACCAACTATTGCAATACTATTGCAATAGATTTTTCTCCTGGAATTGTCTCATTTGAAGTCATTTTCCAAATGAATACATAGTTTATATGAAATAAAAACAAGTTGAAGTAGTTTCAATCTCTTTTAATAACTGACAAGACACTTGAAACTGGGTTCAAGTAAACAGTAAAACATAAACTCAATGAAGCTGCAAGTCTGCACCAAATCTTCCTGTATTTTGCGCTGCGCATTTATCAACGAAAGTCAATTACTTAACTATCAATAGTCACACATACTATCAATGCATCGATAGTTTTTCATTTCTACCATCGATTAATTGCTATCGGAGACTCAACAATTGCAATGCATCGATACTTTGATGCATCGATAGTTTTTAATTTCTACCATCAATTAATTGCTATCGGAGACTCAACAATTGCAATGCATCGATACTTTGATGCATCGTTACAGCCCTAATGATAGTACATAAGTAAATCAGTAAAAGTCTTCAGACAACTATGTTTATGTAAATTAGCTCCTAACCAACAAAAATTAAGTAGATGCATTTAATCACAAACTATTGTAACCAAGTAATAAATGACACAAAGCATCAATGACCAAAATCAATATGATTTTACTTTAGCAAATCATTCATATTCATTTCCCATTAAGCATTTCATTTATGGGGAGCTTTATAGATAAACATTATTATTATTATTTAAGTATCAATAATTGAGACTATGTGTAGACATGTCTGGTTTTTAACAAGCATGAGCTAGATAATATTCCTTTTGACATAATCAATCTTCATTTCATAGTGATGGTTATACTTTTTTTAAAGAGAGTCTGTCAATGACTGCTCCCCCATCCCTATAATTATCTGACGGCCGATTCCGTCTTGTTCTCACTTACCAAAGTGTGGGTTCTCGCACAAATATTAATTTAGAAGATTTATCTCGTATTGATCTGAGAACATTGGGGTGTGCACCAGGATGATGTAGGTGGTGCTTGTCGCTGCTCTTTCAACAGTGTCAGTGTTATAGCGTAAGTGGAAAACGACTAGCGGGAGGGAGGACTGTTTGTCTTGAAATGAACACGTTCGTCAGGACATGGATCTGTGACGAGTGAAATATACATCTATGAGAGGAAGGAGTGTCCAACCGTGCGTTGCTTGTTCATGGATATACAATATGAATGACAATGTCTTTCATTTTTCACATGAAGGTATGGTGAAGCTTGTTTTATGACAGTGTATAGCATAGACAATTGTTTTGTGTGTTCAGACTGTGATGGTCGACTGCCTGGGCTGTAAATTTTTAATCGCTGAAATTCAAAGCTGTATGTTTCCACGTACAAGTTGATGCAAGTTACTGTTGCAGGCTCTCTGTTTGGATTTGAGTTGACATGTGGTGATATGTATAGGCAAAAATCTCATGCGTTTAGTTTCACCAGTATTACAGTGCTTGAAAACTCTTTCTATGATTGCCAAAAGCAGAATCCACTTATCCATTCAAACTACATATACATCATAATGTATAGTTATTATAATAATAATGCATGTATTATTCTATTTTGTAGTGTATGTATGTGTGTGTGTGTGTCATGGGTGTGTGGGTGTGTGTCTATGATCCATCTCTCTGTCTAAATCTCAGTCAGTCAGGTTGAATAAATGAATCAATGAATGAATGAATGAATGAATGATGAAACATCTCCATATAATGTGTATGTATGTGTGTGGGGTGGGGTGGGGTGGGGGTCTGTGGGTTGTCTATGATCCATCTCTGATCTAAATCTCAGTCAGTCAGGTTGAATAAATGAATGAATGAATGAATGAATGAATGAATGATGAAACATCGAGAACATTCCATATAATGTGTATGTATGTGTGTGTGGGGTGGGGTGTCATGGGTCATGGGTGGGTTGTGTGTGTCTATGATCCATCTCTCTGTGATCTAAATCTCAGTCAGTCAGGTTGAATAAATGAATGAATGAATGAATGAATGAATGAATGATGAAACATCGAGAACAATCCTTATATAATGTAATGTGTGGGTGGGGTGGTGTGGGTCATGGGTCTATGAATCTCTTTGATACAAGTGCCAGGTTGAATGTACACATCTAAATTTCAATGTATATATGTAGATATATGCCACTGTACACATCTAATATAATGTTAATGTTAAAGTGATTCATCTTAACATTTGAATCTTAAAAGTATTGTGATAATAACAACAATAAACATTCATTTGACAATGAAATATGATCCAGAGGGACATTGAAGGACAAATATGTGAGTGATATTCATTTCTTTCATAAAGATAGAGTGAAGAAGTTAATTATATACCAGAATGATCCATTAATGTTGACAGTTTATTGTTCATGCTCTTTCAATAATTGTTGATGGTTGATGCATTTGTTCAGACATAAATAATACTTCATAAGACTTTGAAACGTTTCATGAACATATTGTGATCATTGGTGACAATACATTTCAAGTACCATTGCATTGACTCAAATTTATTAAATTATTGGTTAAATGAATCATGCATTTTATTAAATATAAAATGTCATTAGAAAATACCATTCTTTACCATTTGGCAGAACAAATGTCATTGGGTGCAACAGTAACAAAATATTTTTGAAAAGTTATATGAATGAATCATAAGTCATTGGTGACATATAGACATATAGTAATTATTAAAGTCGAAATATGCGTTGAACACATTCTAGTTGGTGGGGTCTAGTTCTGGAGGGTGGTGTGGTAGCCTAGTGGTTAAAGCATTTGCTCGTCACACCGAAGACCCGAGTTCAATTTCCCACATGGGTATAATGTGTGAAGCCCATTTCCGGTGTCCCCCGCCTTGATATTGCTGAAATATTGCTAACAAGTGACGGTAATCCTCATGTAGGGGAGTGGTTTTCAGATTCTGATGCTCCTGAAATATGGAAAAGTGGAAAAGAAGTGAAAGATGTATTGCTCACTCACGGCCGCTATTTTCACGGAAGTAAGTTCTCGTTAACGGACCGAACCGAAGGCCTTATACCGCAATACGTACCATACCGTGGTAAGAGCATACCGTTTCACCCCTACTTAATACCTCTTTCTACCCAGCAGCAAATGGGTAACAAGTAGGATGAAACAATATAACTGACAACCTTCTACATCCTCACAGTCAGGTTTGGTTGTATATTTGGAGCTGATCATTTATATTCAGTTTGTTTGCTCATTTTAAAGATGGTCTCCTTCGGGAGGATTATTGTTATGACTTGTTCCTTTGGTTTGTAATATCAACAGTTGGAATTTGGAGCATGCTATTTCTTTGCAGAACAGAAAGGCTGTTGTCAAGTAAATTAAAACATGTCATTCTGGTGAACTGTTTTAATGACCAATGATTTGTTCTAATACTCTTTATATGATTCCATGTAGCTTTCAGAGATGTCTGGGAATCTAATAAAATTTCAACATAAAATCAATTCTCTGAAGCAGTGTTATCACTAGAAAACTGACACGTGTCAATTTCATTTTTTCTGTAAGTGGCGAAATCAGCGTTCAAATGAAAATACACTTAAATTTAAATGTAAAAACATACCTGTAAAGAAGGTTAGTATATCATATCTGTTTGATACTGATAGAGGGTTTTGTTAATTCAAAGCTAAAGACTAAAGCTAACTAAAACCCAACTGAGACATAATGAGAAATTCGACACACAAAGTCAAGAAAAGGTAGGTTAATTGACAACCTGTCAATCAGTTCCGAAACCAGCAGCACTTGTGATACCCACAACATTAATCAAATCTGTGATTAATTTCACTGATAAAGGTCTAGAAATTCACAAAGTAAGTGAAAAAAGTCAACTTTTGTTTGAAAATCATGAAGATTCAATGCTCTTTCAAACTGATAGTGTCGCTGAATTCACACTTCTTCACTGGGATCAATACTTCCTGTGGAAGTGTATTTAATCAATGATGTTTGTTAAAGGGGCTGACTAGTGCTGTGGATCAGAAGCATGGTACTGGATATGCTAGCCTTGTATGAATTTCTCTTTTAACTAGCATGTAAGTTTAGGCTGCTTTTAGCACTATTCCAGCAATTTCATGCTGGGGACACCAGAAATGGGCTTCACACATTGTACCAATTTGGGGAATGAAACCCAGGTCTTCAGCGTGACAGGCAAATGCTTTAACCACTAGGCTACAAACCCCTAGGAGATCTAGTAGAATGTCTGTGAGATGCCATTAGGTGATCAGGATCACTTACTTAGGTGAGGCATATCATCATTTCCAGAGTGCAAAGATTGATGCTCATAACATCGATCACTGGATTTGATGGTCTGGACTTTACTGTTTACAGACTGCAGATAACTGGAATATTTCTGGAATACCAATGTTGAAATCTAAATGCCTGGCATTTTCTTTCATTGATTGCTAGTGTCTAGTCAGTGTGACCATCTCGGTGTATTTGTCAACCACTGTTTAATATTGTATAAGCTTATGATGATACTGATGATGCTTCCGCTATATAGGCATGACACTAATAATGCATTACCTGTGCTACATCATTCAATATTCAAATAAACAGGCATGACAACATTCATGCTTTAGATAAACAGGCATGATGTCATTAAGGCTTCATGTAAACAGGCATGACATCATTCAGGCTTTGAGTAAACAGGCATGATGTCATTAAGGCTTCATGTAAACAGACATGACATTCAGGCTCTGAGTAAACAGGCATGACATTCAGGTTTCGAGTAAACAGGCATTATGTCATTAAGGCTTCATGTAAACAGGTATGACATCATTCAGATTTTGAGTAAACAGGCATGATGTAACTAAGGCTTCAAGTAAACAGGCATAACATCATTCAGGTTGAACAGGCTTGACATTAAGGCTTCAAGTAAACAGGCATGACATCATTCAGGTAAACAGGCATTACATTAAGGCTTCAAGTAAACAGGCATTACATTAAGTCTTCAAGTAAACAGGCATAATGTCATTCAGGTAAACAGGCATTACGTCAAGACTTCAAGTAAACAGGCATTACATTAAGTCTTCAAGTAAACAGGCATAATGTCATTCAGGCTTCTGGTAGATTAGCATCATCCCGATAGGCTCATCCATGTAGGCCGTTGTGTTCTACTTAACCTGAGTAACTATTTATGATTAAAATTTAAACTATATAAATATATTATTTCAGGTGTATGCATAGGTGAAAGAAACAATCTTTGATAAAGGTTTACATACATAAGTAATTCGATTAGTTCTGATCATTTTAGAACTGAGGTAAGCTGAACTTTAAGTATTCATAAATGAATCGTGATTATGTCCTCTCAAATTAAGATAAAAAAATCTATTTGGTGAAGTATATATTTAATGAAAAGATTGGATTAATACTTTTTGAGAAAAGGAGACTTAACAGTTATCAATATTTAGCCTAATATTTTCTCTTATCCAGAAACGAGTTGAACAAGGCTGGTGCTTTTAAGTAACTGAAGAGGCTTTCAACTGAGGGATGATGTCAAAAATGTGTTTTTAAATTTTTAAAAATTACTCTTTTAACCACCAGGTTTGTCAACTGCATCATCCTGATCTTTTCTTTCTATGTATCAAAAGACATCATTTTCATTTTTTCTGTTCAATTTCACATTTCATTAAAGATGTTAGGATGCTGTTAATTTTAATCAAGGGATAAGTTTAAAAATTAATCGAAATTAATAAACACAATCATGTTAGATTGAAGGGAACCATAGGATAAAGTGACCAAGCACTAATGGGTGCTTCTGCTTCACTGACCAATACAATTAGTGTCCAGAAAACTCGTTTACAAATGGACAACATACTCAATTACTTCCTTGAGAACCAGATCCTTGATGTTCAACTGTCAATATCCTCATCATTCACAGCAGCAAGAGTAATGTTCTGGAAAATGACCTTGACCCAGATCACTTTAAAGGTCAACTTGTTCCTCATCTTCTTTCTTTGAGATCATTGAGATACCAGAGTTTATTGAGTTAACTTAGTTATTAATAAGACAAGTCATTTGGAATGCTAGAGACTTGTTTCAGTGCATTTGTGATGATTATTTTTATTTTCAAGGTTGCCATCCATGCTTAATTTGGATATTCTATATCCCTTTCATTTTTTATCTTCTCAGATTTATTAGATTAACCCATTTCCTAATAAGATGGAACTGGCATGTTTTACATTCAAGACATCCCAGATAC